GAGCGCTACAAGGACTACCTTCTGGGGGACTACTGCTACGGCCTCCGCTCCAGTGAGGAGTCAGGCTCTCTGATTCCGCCCTGGCCGCTAATCCTTAGCTATGAGCACGCTATCCGCAAGCATGCCTACAAGCTCATGGCTACGGATGGTCGCTCCTTCGGCGATGCGCTCGCCAAGGCATACAAAGAGGCTACTGTCAAGGAGAGGCACTTCACCACACCCCTTGCGCTACATGCAAAGCGGCCGAACCCCTCCGTGCCCCCTCCCCCGCTAAACCCCTACCAGCGCGACCCCAAGAAGGGGAAAGGCAAACTGGGCAAGGGGAAGGACAAGCAGCCGACGAAGTTCGGCACGCTAGCAGGCACGTCCAGCCGGACCCCCGATGGCAAGCCCATCTGCTACCGTTTCAACGCTAAGGGGGGCTGCAGGAAGGGCGACAAGTGCCACTTCGCCCACGTGTGCCTTCACTGCTTCGCTAAGCACCCGGCCACGCAGTGTCCCACGCTAAAGAACAAGAAGGACGACAAGCAGCAGGCAGCTAACTGACCCGAGTCCCGTGCGGACCCGCTACCACAACCTGCTCCACCTCCTGGCAAGGTGCTACGTGTGCTCTACTTGTTTGCGGGAGCTAAGAGACCGTGGGACATGGCTACCTGCGTCAAGGAGACGGCCTCGGCCTTGGGTTGGGATGCTACAATCGAGTGCGTGGACATTTGCAGAAGCGCGAAAATGGACCTCACCAAGTCCGCGCTACGCCAAAGCTACCTGGACAAGATTCAGGCCAAGAGTTTCGACGCTATACTTCTCTCGCCGCCCTGCTCCTCGTTTTCGAGGGCGCCTTTTGCTAACCACTGCGGGCCCCGACCAGTCCGTTGCTACCAGCATCCGCGCGGCAAGGATACGCTAACAGCCCGTGAGCGGGATAGGGCTATACTGGGCAACCTCTTCGCCGACTTCGCCTGGGACGTAGCTACCCTGGTGGCTGCAGGCGCCGCTAGCTTCCTCGTGTTCGAGCAGCCGGAAGACTTGGGGGCTATTCACAAAGGGCCCTTTGCTGGACAAGCCCCGCTAGCATGTGGCAGTGGCCCGCTTTCGAGCAGCTACTCCAACAAGGTTGCAGGACAGTGGCCTTTCACCAGGCCAGCTTCGGGACACCCTACGCTAAACCTACCCGACTTTTTCTTCGTACTTCGTGCGAGCTACCTTCTTTCGTGCACGAGGGCGCACCAGTCTTTGACGAGAACGGCAGCTACTTGGGACCGCTCCCGCCCAGTAAGCAATACGGTGGCCTCTTCCAGCACCGTGCTAAAGGGCTCTTCGCTACCTCTGGCTCCGAACGCTGGCCGCCTCGCCTCTGCCAGTGGCTAGCCGGCGTGCTGGTGGAGACCTGCCTGGACCCTGCTTCGACTGCTACGGAGGGGGAGGTCCAGGAACAGCACAATGACGAGAACCTCAGCTACTCTGTCAACGAGCCCGAGGGTCCCCGAGTCCTTGGGGGGGTTGGCCCCCCCCGCTACTGCCAGCAGTTGGGAGGCCACAAGGACTATCATGACGGCGGAGGCCTCTGCTTGTCGGGACACTGGAAACCTGAAAATAGGTCCCTGGCCTCAGGGCCGTCTTGGGACTGGCTACGCGAGAAGACCCTCGACCTGGTGCTAAAGGAGCTCGGCAGTGGAGATGTGCGGGAGCTGGAACGTGAAGCCTTCCGGATGGCAGCCGGTGGGGAACATGGCTGTTCCCTCGCTAAGAACGAGAAGCTCCAATCCCAGCTAAGGCAACTCTGGAAGGACTGGCTGGAGGCTCAAGACTTGGGGGAGAAGGACTTGCTACACCAGGCCGAAGGGCAGCCCCTCTACCTCAGGCTGCTTAGAGGGATGCTTGAGGCTGCCGGCGACCCCGACCGGGAGTTCCTCCGTCGAGCTGAGGAAGGGCTACCGCTAGGCATCCTGGAGCCGCTACCGCGCACTCCGCATGTTTTTGAAGAGCAGCTGAAGTGGCCTCTAGAGAACGCTCCGTGGGAGGCCTCGCTAGCATGGGT